CAGCTGTTAAAACATATGTTTTTTTTATTGCTCTCCTGTATTCCTATGGGGAGATTTACCTTGACATCCCTCAAATCTTTTCAACCGTGATAGACAAAAACACATTTTTAGTAGAGTGACAAAGGGCTAGAACTCCCGACAATGCTTTTATTGTTGCTCGTGCCTTCCTGTCCCAGTGACAACTACACACACTTCTTAATGGACTCACAGACAAAAACCAGGCAGAAATCTTACATCTGCTCTCCAAATTTAATGAAAAATTGGCTGTAATTAGGCTTTAATTATTCTTGGAAAAACAAGAAGCAGATTTGAGCAGACATTGACAGAGCTGCCTGACCAGAAAAAAATCTGAACAATGTCTCGCCCAGATTACTATCTGCAAGGAGTTTGCATGTTTTTCCTGTGCTTGCGTGGGGTACTCCGGTTTCCTCCCACAGTCCAGAGACATGCTGGTAAGTTATTTGACCTCTCTGTAAATTGGCCCTGTATGTATGCATGTGAGATAGGGACCTTAGATTGTAAGTTCCTTGAGGGCAGGGACTGATGTGAATGTGCAACTATGTAAAGCGCTGTGTAAATTGTCCGCTATAAATACCTGTAATGAAATGTTCTATTCTTTCAGGATGTCCAAGAATCTGCTCTTAAATGTCCTGTGCTTTCAGGATGTCCGAGTATCTGCTCTTAAAGTGTATTTCCACTTCTGCAGTTGTATTTAAGAAAACCCCACAGTATCTTTGTAATGTGTTCCCATTCACACAGCATACCAAAAAATAATAATTTTTTTAAATCTTACCTTTTTAGATATTTTATTACAGCAGTCAAGATAGCTGAATCCAGATATTTTCTGAGCACCTTCACAGTGACCTGTCCTTTATAGAAAGACTTCTGGCAGAAATGTGTGGAATAGATTTCTCTCATCAACATGCAACGCAGAAGCCCGGATTTTAATCCTTTAACCCTTTGTTAGGACATAGCGTTCAAATATACTTTACAAATTACAATGAAATAAGCCTGTACAGAGTAGCTTAACACAAACCCCTCACAGCCCCTCCTAACATTACAAAGAAGGAGAAGCAAGTAGACATTTTAACCCTTAGAAAACCAAGTAGAAACCCCAACCAAAGTAAAAGCAGTTAAAACTGTGAAAAGGATTTTTAAAATATTTTTAAGCTTATGCTATGTGAATAGGAGGTGATAGGGGATATCCCAATCTGGCTGTGAAAGTGGAAATACACTTTTAGTTAGATGTACAATAAATTACCTAATTCGAGGTTGCAGTAAAGCATACATTTGTAAAATTCTTAGCGCTGTGTGAGATGTACTTCCATTTGGAAATCCCAAGTGGAAATACACTTTAACCGCTTGCCGTCCGCCCATTGTAAAAACACCGGAGGACGCTTCCCGGCGTGTGGACGTACATGTACGCGATTTCTTTTTCTGCTCACGCGTGCCCCGTAGCAGAATCCCACTGTGTATGTTAACAGCCTGTACTGGCTGTTACATGCAAGCGTTCGCCGGCCAATCGCTTGTATTACAACATACAGCGCCCCCTCCGCTGCCGGTTATCCCGTGCTCCGCTGTCCCCCTTATGGGCCCTGGACCTGCACGGTGGCTGCTTGTACTGTAGACTGAGGAGAGATCAGCTTTCTTCTACTTGCTGATCTCTCCTCTGATCTCTAAAGGCGGAAGTGATGTATAGTACATCACTTCCGCCTTTAGCTGTCACTTCTCTGGCTGCTATAACCAGAGAAGAAGCTGGTGAATCAGATCTTCATCAGCTTCTTTGGGAGTCCAAAGGTGACTTTAGGGGTCTTAGAGACCTCTGATGTCTCCATAAAGAGGGCCTGTCATTGTATATTATCACATGGGGTCTTGTTATCCCCATATGTGATGGCAGTAAAGTTATATATAAAAAATAAAATAAAAACCAAAAATAAAAAATGCCCCCATTAAATTAACTGCACGCACATATATAAATGTAAATATGTGTCGGGTGCACCTATGTGCGAAAGCAATGATTACGCCACGTGTTACATATGTGAGCAATAATTCTAGGGCCATCAATCACTATTTACCCTAAACTAATGAGCAGTAAAAGCTTTTAAAACGTCGCCTATGGCCAATTTTAGGTATGGTCGCTTCTTTGTGATTTTCGCAGGAGCGCGCAGTTTTAAAGATTGACATGTTTAGTGTTTACCCAACGTGACCCCAATTTTTATATTTTACCAAAACATTGGGTACTCAAGTACCCAATTCTTCAAGTGTTTTATAGCATAACATAGGAAAACAGTTTTTTCTCTCCCGTTCATTGAAGGACACAGGGAACAGATCGGAGATCATGTACTGTAGGGTAATATCGCCACCTGCAGGAGAAGGACGCTAGGCACAAAACTAAAGACCAATTACAGCCTGCGGCGGCCCCTGCCGGTGGCCAAACCCCCCACCAGCTGACAAGTCTCCAGTTTTTTGCCAAGTGTATGCTATTAAGGGGCGTGAGCCTCCTTTTTCTGTTACGGCCCATTCTACTAGGGTTGTTGGGGCATCTTGGGCTTTTCGTCATGGTGCCTCCGTTTCTCATGTCTGTAAGGCCGCGACTTGGTCTTCTGTTCACACCTTTGCCAAGTTCTATAAGGTAGATGTTTTGGCATTTGCGGATGCTGGTTTGGGGCGCAAAGTGTTGCAGGCGGCCGTTTGAGGGGATTTTTTTGTTCAGTTGGGTTTGTTGTTTCTGTTGGCCCACCCCTCTCCGATCTGTTCCCTGTGTCCTTCAATGAACGGGAGAGAAAATAGGATTTTGGTACTCACCGTAAAATTATTTTCTCTCCGTTCATTGAAGGACACAGGGCCCGCCCCTCTGTGTGGGTGTGTACTCCTTTTTACTGCTTGTTACTAACTGGAGACTTGTCAGCAGGTGGGGGGTTTGGCCACAGGCAGGGGCCGCCTCAGGCTGTAATTGGTCTTTAGTTTTGTGTCTAGCGTCCTTCTCCTGCAGGTGGCGATATTACCCTACAGTTTTAGGAACTTTTTTCATTATATAGTAAAAAATTAAAACCCCAGTGGTTATATACCTCCAGAAGAAAGCTCTCTCTGTCCCCAAAAAATGGTATAAAACTAATTTCAGTACAACATTGCATGAGGGAATGAATGTCAGTCAAAGTACTGCAGCGCTGAATACTGAAAAATGGCCTGGACAGGAAGGGGCTTTAACACCCCGGTCAGCAAGTGGTTGAAGCAGACATATACTTATAATTTAAAGTGTATCTTTCTAACAGGGATCATTAATTAATAAAGTTGAAAGCATGGATTACATTGATGGCATCATCAGGGTGTGGGGTTTAGGAATAGCTTGCACCTCCACTAATATAGAAGCCACCTTTGTGCCACGAAACGCTTTGGAATGGGCCTATGCAAAGAAACCACTTTCTGTTGCTTACTGCACGTACCATATTATTCAAAGCTGACCTGTTTTGCACCATTAAAGGAAAAGCTGTCTGTGGCTATGTTCCCTCTAAATGTAATAGACTGTTTTTGAACTGGTAAATTTAACCTTTTTCTTTTTTTTTTAGATTACCGGTATTTGAATGAATAAGGTCCTGCCTTTTGGTTTTGGCATACATTTGACATTGGCAGAATCAACACTTAATCTTTCACTTTGTTCTCTTATCAAGTATTCCAAAGATTAGGAACTTCAGTTGGTGTCTTATGAGGATAATTACAGATCAGTGTGTGAATATAGATATTACACATTAAAGAAAGCATAACAAATGTATTTATTACAACATCAGTAACAAAAAGATCTTCAAATGATTAACTCCGTTACAAAAACTAGAGGCCAACACCTAAAATTGTTGGAAAACAAATTCCAGCACAAGGGGTGAAGGGGGGTTCTTCACGGTAAGAGCGGTTAGGGTCTGGAACTCACTGTCATCGGCAGTGATTTCAGCCAGGAGTGTGGAATTGTTCAAGAAACTCTTGGATGATTTCATGAGGGACCGTAATATACAGGGGTACAAGTACTCCTAAGAAAGAGATGATGCGCGGACCTATATGGGTTGGACTTGATGGATTTATGTCTTTATTCAACCCCAAATACTATGTAACTATGTAAATGGCTAAGCTACTTAGTATTTTCTTTGATAAACGATGGACAATTGTAAAAGAATTAAATACATGTTAATACATTGTTACTTTTTTTTTAAATTCTAGGCAAGATGAGAGCAAAATAAGGAAAGCATACTTTAGACTTGCACAGAAATATCATCCAGACAAGAATCCTGAAGGAAGGGTTTGTATTCATTTTGACAACTTGCATCTGTTATAAAACATATATACTGTTAACCTATATTTACCACTTTAGCTCTTGCACCTGTATCTCCCTTACGGTCCATGGCAATTTTTATATTACATTAATTGTTCCCCCCCCCCCCCCCCCCACCTAATATTGAGTAGGTCCCTCTTTTGCCACCAAAACAGCCCTGACCCGTCGAGGCATGGACTCCATTGGACCTCTGAAGGTATACTGTGGTATCTGGCACCAAGCCATCAGTTACAGATCCTTTAAATCCTGTAAGTTATGAGGTGGTACCTCCACAAATGCTGAATTGGATTGAGATCTGCAGAATTTGGAAGCCAAGTCAACACCTGAAACTGGTTGTGTTCCTCAAACCATTCTTGAACCATTTTTGTAGTGTGGCAGGGCGCATTATCCTGCTTAAAAAGGCCACTGCCATCAGGGAGAACCATTTTCATGAAAGGGTGTACTTGCTCAGCAACAATGTTTAGGTAGGTGGTATGATTCAAAGCAAAAACACATGAATGGCAGGACCCAGCAGAACATTGCCCAAAGCACCACAGTACTTCTGCTGGCTTGCCTTCTTCCCATAGTGCATCCTGGTGCCATCTCTTCCCCAGGTAAGCAACACACATACACCCAGCCATCCACAAGCTGTAAAAGAAAACATGATTGTAGGCGCTCTTGGCAGTGGACACGGGTCGGCATTGGCACTCTGACCGGTCTGTGGCTACGCAGCCCCATACGCAACAAATTGCTAAGCACTTTGTGTTCACGACATGACATTTCACAAATAAACCTATCAACAAAATATTGATATTGGCAACTTCCTTTGGGTGTGCCAGTAAACCACTGTGATTACTTTGAGTTTTTGCATGGGCGTCATCCGTGCGATCACCTTGAGCACCACTGCTACTATGGAGTTCTGAGACCGTAAGGAGTGCAGGTGGCCTTCGGGAGCACTGTGTGTTCAGACACCTTTCTATCAGAACCAGTATTAACTTTTTCAGCAATTTGAGCTACAGTAGCTCTTCTATTGGATCGGACTACATGGGCCAGCCTTGACAGCCCATGTGCATCAGTGAGCCTTGGCTGCCCATGACCATGTCGCCAGTTTACATGTTTTCCTTCCTTGGACTTATTTTTTGGTAGGTCCTGACCACTGCCAACTGGAAATATCGCACAGGAACTGCAACTGTCGTCTAGCCATGACAATTGTGCCCTTGTCCAGGTCCCTTTTAAATGCTTACACTTGCCCGTTTTTTCTGCTTCCAACACATTAACTTCAGGGACAAAATGTTCAATTGAAGCCTAATATATCCAACCCACTTCCATGTACCACTGTAACGAGATAATGAATGTTATTCACTTCACTTCTCAGTTATGTCTAATCTGTGTATTTTCTCAATAATACAATAAGAAATATAGTTTTTTTTTTCCAGCACAAAAAAGGTTTTCTTTTGGCAATATTCACTTAAAAATTATTTTCTTTTCAAATTAAAGACAAAAATAAGTCAAATTTAAAAGTACGCTTTTTGTTCTGGTTTGACCAGTGTTTAACAACAGCAGTACAAAGCGCACATTTTATTCTGTGATCTGTTCCATTATTAAGTACATTAAAACAAAGTTTATTTTGTAAAGAATGGTGACGTTGTTTACAAATTAAATGAACGGTTTTTTTGTATTTATAATTTTTTGTATTTAATGGAACACTACAAAGACAAACAAAATGAAGTTTAGATGCCATTGGTTAAAATAGCTGATATAGTTAACTTTAGTTTAAAAAACTTTTGCATATATGTGTGTGAAGAGATGATGTAAGAAGACCTGGGCGTATGAGGTATTCCCGAGGTAGTTGCATAACGTTTATATGGTGTCTACCTCATATGCCCAAGCTCCACAAGTGGTTAAAGATAGCTTCACCATTTAACAATATTAAATTCCCAGATTGTATACACTTTTAAGGCAACCAAATACATGAGGTGACAGTTGCAATGGATGATGACCTCACTTGTAGATCCATCAAGCTGGTTGGAGATCTTGCCATGATTGCTATGTTTTTTTTTAGAGAACATTTTTTTAAATTAACATTAAAATGAATACAAAGGTTGAAAAACAGGTAAATTTAAGGGGTGTGTGTGTGTATATGTGCGTGTTGGGGGTAAATATCGGAGCATTTGGGCACAAATACTTGGTATAGTCAATGTGTGTGTGTGTGTATATGTGTATGTATGTGTGTGTGTGTGTAATTATATATATATATATATATATACATTTTATCTGGTTGCTTGAGAATTACTATGAACTCTTAATTAACTATTTAATTTTTTTCTACAGGACATGTTTGAAAAAGTTAACAAAGCTTATGAGTTCCTGTGTACGAAGTCAGCCAAAATTGTGGATGGACCAGACCCAGAAAATATAATTTTAATTCTTAAAACTCAGAGCATCCTTTTCAACAGGCACAAGGAAGGTAAAACTCCAACTAAATGTTTTTTAAAATAGAGGCCTAAAATGGATGGAACGTGTGTATAAATCTGTAGACTCTAGCTCATGTAAGCAGGTAACCGTGTTTTAATTTTTGCAAGTAAATACAAAATATAAAATCTCCAAAGTCAAGCTCAGCAAAGATTGCAGTGTTGTGCTTGGCAACTAATTGATGTTTTAAATTGGAATGCATATTAAGCAAATAAATGTTTCTTTGGACAACTGCACACATTCCAACAACAAACCTTTGCTCATCTGCTCAGATTACACCCTGTTGGCTCATCAATGTATGTAAAACAACAATACTGGATAAACAGGTTTGCATACTCCTAAAGATTTTATTTTTTTTGTGTGTGCATGGGGAGGTTCCTTTGTCTTCAATTGTTTATGGGGCTTCAGTGCTGTCTGTGTAGCTGACCTGGAACAAGTATAGAAATAAGGAAGTCTGACACTTCTCAAACTCCTTTTAAACCCCTTCATGACCAATGACATACAGTGTACATAACTGGCATTGGGCCCGTTTAAACAGACTCCCGACTCTGTTTACACTTGTAAAGCCGACCGTCGGCTTTACAGTAGAAGCGATTCTGGCGGCTCAGCTGCCGCCACATCGCTTCTGCAGGTCGGTGAACGCCCCCCCCCCCCGACACCCCCGCCATGTTTCCGGGGCTCTGCTGCCCCTCCTATGGGCCCCGGACTGGCTTGTCTGGTGGGGGGGAGCTGGGGAAAAGATTAATGAACCACCGTTCACCGATCTCCACCCCGTACTATGGGACCGGGAGCGATGCAGATTACATCACTTCCGGTCCCATAGCCGTCAGTGCTGGGCCCCTGAAGCCCAGCTATAAGCTATTGAAGTGCGATCTGCACTTCAATAGCTTATTTCAAGTGTAAAGGTGATACTGGGGGTCTTTTGGACCCCCAGTATCACCAAAAAGAGTACCTGTCACCAGCAATATGCTACCACATGGGGGGCTTTTAAATTATAGCAATTAAAGGAGAACTATGAGGTGAGTGCTTTTCACCTCATAGTTCTAGCCGACCTGTGACAATGAGACTGTCACAGGTCGGCTCAGTAGATCGGGAGGTGAGCGAACGCATAATGGCGGTCACTCACCTCTCGATCCTGTCATGGCTCTCTGCCGTGACAGGGGAAGCGCTTACTGACGGGGAGGGGGCGGGTACAGCTGGCTCAGCCTCTAGGTAGGCAGAGCCAGCTGTCAGTCACGCAGGTGGGCGGATCCAGACATAATTGTCGGGATCCACTTCAGCTGCGGCGTCTTAGTATACCGCGACGGACGCACACAATTTTTTACCAGGGCGTGTTGGGTATCTACTCGTTGTAACCTCATCTTTTATATTTTATTTCAAAAATTGGTATTTTATTGTGTTTTGGAGCATTTTTGTGCATTTTTCACTAAATGTTGGGGTTTGATAAGGAGTTGCGCTAATATTGTGCAACATAAAAATTTCCAACTGCTATAATTTTTACCTCTGTCATTCACCTGTCATTTTACCCTGTCATTTGAAGACATATCCAGGTACTTAAAAGTAGTTAAAACTCAGTTTATACATGTTAATAGAAATTAAGGATGCCTAAGGATTAAGCATCCCTTACCTAGATAAAACCACAAATCCACAAATCCACCATAAATCCATTTGGGTGTACTTAAGATGATGTGAAAAATCTCCTTGTATTTTACTAGTATTTGTAGCTTCTCCAGGCCTTTTTTTGTTTTATGTACAGTAGAAAATTGTGAACGTTACACAATTTGTAAAAACTAATTAAAATCTAACATTTTTTAGACCTTCAGCCTTACAAATACGCTGGCTATCCCATGCTCATCAGAACCATCACCATGGAGACCTCCGATGTCCAACTCTTCTCTAAGCTATCTCTGTTACCTGCTGCCACTGAGTTGGCATTTCACACAGTCAACTGTTCAGCCCTTAATGCAGAAGAACTCAGGAGGGAAAATGGCATAGAGGTACATCATTATTATACAGCTGTAAAATGAAATCATTAAAACACAAGCGTGTACCTCTCATCTAGGAGCTTTGAAATTATTTTTAACGTTTTTTTTTGTAAAGTGCAGGTTGTTTTTAGAATTTTACATTAGTTACTGCAGAAATATTGATCTTTAAGAAACTGACCAATAAAAAATAGACCTGTGCTGAAAATAGCAACTAATTAGATTAATGACTTCACTTTCCAGAGTAGGTTAAAGGATGAGAGATGAAGCTTGTTTGACAGCTGTCTGTCATTTCTCATAAAACATTCTCTGACTTCTAACAACTGTGTTACATGACTCTGATTGATGCAATGCTGAAATGATTGCTTATAAGAATCTTAAAACCTGCTTCTAAACACAAACTGAATGTGCCCCTTGCTTTTAGGTACTACAAGAAGCGTTCTCTCGCTGCGTTTCAGTGTTGACTGGATCAAGTAAACCACATGACATGCCTGTACAGGTAACGGAGAACTGATACTAAACCTCTACATTGTAGTGTTATAATTTCACATAGATGTGTCAGTGTCGGCCTACCGTAGGCGTTCTCTCATAAATAGCCTGTAGTGTGTGTATATAATATATATGTTATTAGGGATGCCCCATACTGTTATCGGTGCCGATACCGAGTATTTGGACGAGTACTCGCACTCGACCAAATGCTCCGATACTTAGTTCCGGTACCGGAACTTTTGGTCAGGGGGGATTCCTTCTGACCGGCAGTGCCTCGAGGGAACATTGAGCTGGCTTTCCGTGAGACGGGTCGTGACCCGCCTCCCAGCTTCATGATTGGCTAGAAGGCCGGCTTCACTTGTTGCTAGACAACCTAGCTTCTTGATTGCTCAGGAAGCCGGGTGGCACATCATGACCCGCCGCACGGCTTCTTGGGAACGTGAAGCCAGTGTTCTTCCCAAGCAATCAGGGCCATAAGCCAGGCCCACGATATCCCGGGATACAGCTATCTGTATTCTATATCAGCGAGTACCGGGAGAAAAATATTGGCACTCGATACCAAAAAAACGGTGCATCCCAAATATAAATTTCGAAAAATAAAATTGTATGTATGTATGTATGTGTGTGTGTGTATGTATGTATGTATGTATGTATGTATGTATATATATTGGAAAGAGCAAATGGCTAAGTACGGACATGATAGTTTTATTATGTACAATAGACTGCCAATATTCGTTGCTTTTTATATTAACCCTAATTTCATAATGTTTAAAAATAATGGTCATATTATCTTCACTTCAACAACAATATTTCAAATATTTTTATTCCAGCACCTTCAGCCATAATGAGCTCCATAATATGTATCAAAATATTTTGTAAATTGTTAATATATTAGGCAAGTTGCACTTCTGTTTTTTTTTTTTTTTTTTTTAATTTTTAATTACTTTTTTTTTTTTTTTTTTTTTTTTTTACATTGTAATTAATTCTTTATTTTCAGGTGTGTGGACATATATGCAAGTGTTACAGTGTTGCTGCTCAATTTGAAGAATGCAGAGAGAAGATTATAGAGTTGCAAAATATCATTAAAGACCTCTGCAGAGTTTTATACTATGGCAAGGTGAGACCGTACTTCTTTATCCTATTAAATATGCTGTGGATACTTAATAAGCTTTACTGTCACATGTTTCTTCCCTGTTCCTGAACAGACTATAAAATAGTAATGGATATTGCTTTTACGCTTCTTTTTTTTTTTTAACTGTATCATTGTTAAAGTGGTCATAGGTATTAATCAGAAGTAATGATCTGACATTCCAAATAGTTTTTTTATTTTATTTTAACCGTCCCAAACATGCAGCATATATCTGACCCTTGTTGTAATGCCCATTTATACATTAAAGAATTGGGCAGCAAAGTTTTAGTGCTTTCATTTTTTTGCTACGGTTTATACTATGGTGTTTTTAATACTGTGGTCCATTTTCTACTTTATCCCAACCTTTGCAATATCTGCTTTCTATTAAAAGTAAGCGCGTCTGCCATGTTTCTACGCTCCTGCAACACTAGTTTTAATTGAACTGGCTCAATTTCCCCAGTGGGCTACTTGAATATATCCACTTCTTTGCGATAACAAGACTGTCCATGGTTTCACGCTGTGAAGGAGTCCACATCCATTAAGGCTTCTAAAATACAGACCTGAGCTCACAGAAGCAGAAACTTCTAGTCTGTCAAAGACGCCATTAGTTTTCTTCACTAGAAGTAGCATAGTCTGTAACAAGGCAATCTTGCACAATTCCTGAGACTTAGTAAATGCTACACACTGTGAAGATGAGTTTATTTGGAATTTATGTTCCTCACAGGGCTAGTGGAGGATAAAGAAACATTTGTAAAATCTTGTGTTTCTGTGTTCTGCAGTGCATGCGAGTAGGTGAGTATGCTCAAGGGTTTTCCTAGTGAATATGCAGGAGAAACATCAGAGAGAGGAAATTACCAGAAGGGACCTTTTTATATGCTTTATGATGATGTTGCACATTACAGTCAGATTGTGTTCTATACAGTCTTTTTAATGCACCCAAACTATGTAATGTCCACCTTTTTTAAAAGAAAAAAAAAATCCGGTCCTTGTACTATAGAGTTTTTGGCCGATCTAAAGAACATAGTGCAGTCAGTTTGTAATATATTTTGTCATCTTCTATTCAGCATTTTAGTTTTGGATAGAGTAGGAAAGGGTTAAAAGAATCAGCTTAATTATTGCGCTCTCTGCCCTGCCTGGGGATATTTACCTTTACTTCCTGAGACACAACAGGAAATAAAAGGAAATCTCCCCAAAATGAAAATGGAAAATTCCCATGTTAGACAGTTGTCCCCAGAACATTTGTCCCTGTTGTAAGATGTCTCATTACCCGACGCTGTCATGACAACTTTTAAAATTAAGCATTTTCCCCTTACTTTCTGTCTCAGTGACAATGGTCAACAGGACAAAGAAAGGGGTTAATCTCCACAGCGTGGACACAGCAATAGAAATTTGGCAAATGGTTTAACCTTTTCCAACTCTGAAAATAATGTTTTGCCTTTTATATACACTTTACATTAGTATCCAAACAATAATGAATGCATAGTTACTGTATATCTTTGATAATTGTTGCTTTAATTTTGCCATTTTTATAGAATCTTTTGCTGCTGCTGCTGCTGAAATACAACATATAGCTTTTTCAAAAGCAAATTTACAAGTAACATTAACATCAATTAACTATCATGCCTTTTATTTACCAGCAAAATGTATTTGATTTTGTTCCCAGAGGGTCCAAAGATTGGCAGCACAGGCATTGGAATGCGTGAGTTCCTTTGCTGTGGATTTCTTTCTCCAGACACACTTGTTCCATGCAGGGATTTTGTGGCATTTACTTATTTATCCTTTCAACTACGACTTTACCTTGGAGGAGAGTGGAATTCAGAAGAACGAGGACACTAATCAACAGGTACTGGTATATTAAGGTATTTTCTATAATGTGGCCTGTTTAGAGACTGATTTACATTGTTGGGTTTTAAAAATGAAATGTGTGAAAAGCTTATGTATTTAACAAAGTGCCGTCTGCACCCCACGGGGTCAGACTAAAATGTCTTATTGTATTTTTCTTATTCATAAAATTCAAATAAAGACTATTTGCTGGAAAAAAAAAAAAATGAAATGTGTGACTTTCTGTTGGCCTCTAATTTGTGCATTATTCTTTTGGGTATGACAGGAAGTTGCCAATAGCCTTGCCAAGCTCAGTCTTCTTGCAGTTAGCCGATTAGGTGGCTATTTACCAGGAGAACTAACAACACCAGAAAACCCTACAATACGAAAAAGCTTAGCTGGGATGCTCACCCCTTACATTTCTCGGAAGCTGTCTGAGTCTACTCCTGCAGAGGTACTATATAGTACATGTCTGGAAGCGGCTGTTATATGTCTTATGTTATAAATGCCTGTTATAGATTACCTTTTCCATCATTTTTCAAATCAGTATAGCACAAATTACCCTGCTTTAACTGTCTTGCTCTGTTTTAGTATTTGTTTATATTTTCTGTATTTTACAGTATATCTCCGAATTAGCCAAATGCTAAGCTTGGTTGGTGTGCTTTTTCCCTGAAAAAGGATAGACAATTCCTTTGCATTCTGCCTTGGCTGCCTGAGCCATAAGTTCAGAGTCTGTCTAAGCTTAGAACTTTATTTGTATTTTGCAAATATGTATTTAACTGGAGGGATTGATATTTAGTGCATTGCTTTGATTGAGACAATCGAATGACCTTGTAAAGTGTGGAAATATATTTCTTTTTGTTTTCAGATTCTCAAAATGCTGAACAGTAACACGGAAAGTCCCTACCTGATATGGAACAATGGTACAAGAGCAGAGCTGCTGGAATTCCTTGCAGCTGAACAAGAAAGCATGACAAGAAGGGTAATGGTTTTATATATATATAAAGTGTGTTTAAATATATATATCTATAGATATATCTATAAGTGTATAAAGTGTGTGTGTGTATATATAAACACGCTTATCTCAAAACACACTTTCCCAGATGTTACTAATGGTGGCCATGCAAATGGTAAAAACTTTCAGGAACGCCTTGTCTATATCGCAGGGTTATATGTAAGGAATAGATATTTTAAGAATGTCCTCATATTAATGGATAATTAATATGAGGACATCCTGCTTTAACCAGTTGACATCCGCGGTGTTAAACCCCCTTCCCATCCAGGCCATTTTTCAGTATTCAGCGCTGCGGTACTTTGACTGACATTTATTCCGTCATGCAGCGCTGTACTGAAATGAATTTTATACCCTTTTTTGAGGACAGATAGAGCTTTC